CTAAATTGGACATATATTTTAAGAAGTCCCCCATTGCTGTCTCTTCACGCCCCACCAGTGTTGCCTCTTCACTCCCTAAAGATGATCCAATACCTTCAACAAGCAAGTTTCCCCTGTATGTTAACCTGTCTGAAGAAAGCGACATTGATGACCCACCCTGTCTTCTCCTCTGCTTCATCCAGTTACTGTAGTCTCCATGTATAATTAAAAAATTATGGGGGCCCCGCGTGCATTCAGCTGACTACATTAAAGGTAAGTGCACAGTAACACTGTATTCATTCTTCATTATTGATTACTTTTACTGTACAGGTACTGTATTTAATTTTAGATTTTCTGTGTACTGTATTATTTTTTGCATTTTCGACTTACGACCTGGATTTGGGTCCCTAACCCCGTCATAAGTCGGGAGCAGCTGCACATTTTTATGTAGAGATCAAATGTTTTTTTCACGTCTGTTAATTTTAATGCTTCATTCTGTTAATGGATCCACTTCAGAAAATATGTTCATTGCTTGCTCCTTATAAAATCCACAGACCTCTCACCTTTTTCATATTGGCTAAGCTTATACACTTTCTTTTAGCTTTTGAACCAGCGCTATCATCACTTGCTCTCTTGCTCATGTTGAATAGAGATGCAAAAAATGCCGTAAGAAACCTGAAAATGTTTTTCTCCTTTTCATGTTCAGATGCATGAAAACAAAGGGCTCGCCAGCTGCAACTGTTTATGCTGGCATCACCTCTCACAAGCTCGGCAGCCTCCGAGCGCAAAGCGTGTTTTTTTTAAATACATATCAGGATTTAGTTATTATTTATATGAAAATGTAATATTACTCCATTTTTTTTAATATTTTCGTCATAAATAAGAAGAAAATAATGGTGTAAATTGAATCGGGTCCTAAATTAACCAGGGTCTTAAATATTAATCGTCGTTAGTAGAACCATTGTTATCGGAGGCTTTCCTGTATATCAGTTAGTCAACTAGCTGAAGGCCTATGCATGACTTTACCCCAACCCTAGCTAGCCTGAACCAAGCACCCACACAGAGACCCGGCACATAAATATATGAGCAGTGATGTCATTAGTCTTCGGTTTGATGGCTGTTATGATTCATTAATCTAATGTGTATGTAGTGGACAAGGCCTATCCTACATTGGACAATGTAAGGCTGAGACAATAACTGGTATATATCTATCAGTATATTTCATTGTTATGAAATCGTCAAGCAAAGTGTAAACGACATTAGATTAAATGTCACTTTATCCTGGAGTGTGGTGTGGGTAAAGTGTTGTATTGGTGACATGGTGCATTAGATTCTAGGATAAAGTCCATTGTCTGGCCAGCTTCATTTCTGTCAAAATACCAAATATCACATGACAGGAGAAGCATATTTATACCATTAATATGGTATAGTAAGTTGTTGTAGCATACAGGGCCCCCCAAAAGTTGCTTGCCCTGGGACCCCTTACACTTTTAATGAGGTCCTGGTAACATACAAAAAATGGGAATAAATAACATTTCTCCTTTTTCAATGGCACATTTTGACATTGCCGAGTTTTGGCCCAAAGTTGACATAAAGAGCATGACATATGTCCACACACTTGAGCAGACAGGATGTAATAATGAATTTGTTTAGCTCAATGACACTACAGCAAAATGTAAAGTATCAAGAATTCAGAGATTAAGTATTTATTACTTAACACAACAGTATGGTGGTGCAACTGTCCCCTACACACATTAATGTCATTTATAATAATCATAGTTTGCCAACTTCCTGGATGTGTTTTTATTGCAAATTACATTAGTATAGTACAGTATTGATAATTTGATGCTTATGAAAGTAGAATCAAGTACATATGTTATTTATTGGATCTAAAAAGGAAATCATATTGAGAGACTCCAACCCATCCCTCTATCACCCTTGAATTATGTTAGTTGTACTGTATATTAAAAAAAAATGCACAGACCTGTATCACAAGCTGGGAATACCACCTTATGTGTGGGAACACATTATATGCATAATTTGTGTTTTGCCCTTTGTATTTATGTCCTTGGTTAATAAATACAGTAGGGTCACAGAGTATGCCAACCCACTTATATGAATATGACCCCTGAACTGCCCTTACGCTCTCATGTGAACCAACTTGCTCAGCATCACTCCCTAGGCCAGTGTGTTTATCACTTGTGCATGCTCATTTGAGAAAAAATTAATAAAATTGTTACAATACAGTACTTTATTGTTGCTTAGAAATAAAGAAACCATGATATAAAACTATAAAATAAGAAAAATGAAGAACATGGGTGTGTATAAGTGGGAAGTAAACATACCCATCGAGGCAGTGAACTGGAACTGCATCGCCGACTCGCCACCCAGCCACATTTGAAGTGTATGTATGGTACCATAGGTTTAATATTTGTGTTTGTTTGTACATATGAGGTGCCTAGAATGGGAATGGCATATCTCCAAAATGTCTGTTTTGGGTAAATCGCATTTAAGGTTTTAAGTTTATGTACAGTCAGCCAAAGATCCAGCAACCCCACTCTGAGTCTCGTACTGGCAATTTTACCTGGCAATACTTGGTAAAGTAAAGCTGTATGTAATGGGGAATGTGATTGGTGGGTCTATTTTCAGCTACATTACTGTCAGTATAAATTTACCCTAAAACATTTGATAACACATTATCTTAAGAAATTATTTAACTTAATAAGTTATGTAACGTCCTTAGAGTTTATTGGGTGTGTTGAGGCAACGTAGAGGTGCCAGCGACTCGGTGGTCCGCAGCAACCGTTGCTGGTGTACACTCACTCCAGTGGTTCATTAAGACAAAATATTTTTTATAATGTTTTATAATTAAATAATTTTAACATAATAAAATGTTTTTATTTACTTAGCTTCAAAGGTAGAGATGTTTGGATTGATGGAGGGATGGGGGATGGAGGATTATTCGGAGGATGAAAAAGGAACAGGACTAGGTGGAATGTCCACTCCCACTCTTCTTTCGCCTAATCACTTGTTATTTTACATATTCCTGTATATTACTATAGCTAGTGTGCTTCCTTTTGAATGTTACACCACCCTGTTTGGGCTGGGAACTCATGGCTACAAAAATGATAAAATAATCCACCACAACATGCACGAAAATACACAACAAAGGCAGAAATAAACAGCACAGCACTGGTCTGGACGAAACAAAGCGGGAGGCTAGCGCGGGGACACGTGTGTGCATGCATGATGCCAGGAAGAGGAAATTTCAAATGCTTCAGCTAGAAATCCATAGATTTTATCGGGAGTTTTAAATCCGTAATTTTATCGGGAGTTTTCAGAGTTTTTGAGTGGAATCCACTTAAATGTGGGGACTTTTTATGTGGATGGTCACAAAAAGTAACCACTTTTAACTGCAAAACTGCAGATAGTGAATACTCTTATAACGAGGACCTCCTGTATACACACAGGGAGGACTTGAATATACATGAGTTCACACTAATGTGGGGGTCCCAGGAAAGTAATCCTCACATACTCTGTACTGCCTTCCCTCTAATTCTGAACATCCATACACTCCTCAACCCCTATAACCCACCACCCTGTCACACATTGGCCCCCATAATCCCATGGTCTACATTTCCCCTCACTTTTGAATGCTTTGGATTCACGGGTCGATACTCTGGGGTTCACACCTCACAGAGAGGGTGGATTGACAATGTTAAGTGCAATACTGTAGTTGGAAATGCCCACAACTGTACAGTATGTACTGTAGTACATGTATATTATGAAATTAATATTCCAAATAACATTCAGAAACACTTAGAACAAGGAAAAAATTAAAATAAAACCACCATTACATGACTTCATCCAAAAATAACATATGTCAAACTCCAGAAGGTTTAAATTGAAAGATTTTCGAGCATAGGTAAAGGAAGAAATGAATTCTCAAAGTAACAAAATGAAACTACTGTACTGTACAGTAGGGTATAGTGTGGGGGTACAGTACAAGTTTACTTCTAGCTGTCACCAGTGTCATAGCTGTGTTGACACTTTGGATCGGCGAGCAAGGGTTCATATTTGCAGTGACTTCCCTTCTAATCAAACAACCTTACCAAAATTATCTTTTCATTTGAGTTTTGTCTTGTTTTCATTTGTTTGCCTCATGTATTTTATCAACATTTGCAATAACTTTACTATGAACTGACTAGCATTCTGAAAATATAATTATACTGTAAGGAGTGGCTTTGTTGTATATACCCTGGAATTGACCACCAAAACATCATCTCTGGCCAGAAGCCATTCCAGAAAATTTGGCCAGAAGCCATTCCAGAAAATTGTATGTAAAGATCTTTTCCCTGTATTGTATGTCTTACCTTTTCAGGATTTCTAGTTTTGAATTTAGTGCATTCATTAGTTTAATTAAAGTACCTGTACTTATAACCTACTGTACACCACAAATAAAGAGCAAACCTTAAAAAAAAAAATCAAAAGGGGAATTTTGGCAATGGCTTTGAACGTAGCCCCCATTTTACTATGGAAACCTATCTTGTTTATAGTGTATCAGCCTTTTTCTGGGAATGTGAACTCCAGCATGAATGAGGGCCATTGTGTTAGGTGTACCTGTGTTAAACAAATTTGTTACCAGAGGTAGATATAGGGATGGCTTTAATTGCCTGGAAATGTAAATTCAAAACACATTATTGAATGGTATTTCACCTTGAGTCTGAACAATTGCTGTGTATGAAGCAGTAAAATTTGTGGTGACACTAATCTCTTTGTTAATATGAGGCATTATTATACTGTTCTAAGAAGCCCTTCACTACTCAAGTAGTTTGCCTTCAGGAAAAAGGTTCGTGAAACATTCCCATATTTTTCTGCAGTTTTACGTTTTATCCGATGTACTTGTATCTAGCTCTTCTAGTGATATCGCACAGTTTATATATGTCCTTACATGAAACTTTGTGGCTTTGTCCTTTCCCAATAGTATCACTATAATGCATCCTGATTATTTTTCTTCTCAGGTTTATGTTCAGAACTTGAGGGTAAAGCAGCCTGAACTACCCCGGAAGTTGTTGTGCACCTTTAAAGGGAAAGAATCAAAGAAATTTACTCGCTGCTTCCATGGATGGGGAGAGTTTAAAACTACAAGAGAGTAAGACGCTGGATTTCCCATGGGAGAGATGTACAATTTGCATTTTACAGCCAATTAGTGTATTTGTTAAAAGGTCATTCAGATAACTGCTCTGCCTTCTTTCACATTTTTATGCATATTGTCTCTTCCCATAACACTGTAGGTGCTTTTCCTTGCCAAAACAATTTAAGTTATAATTCATGTAAATTGACTTCCACATATAACCAAACTTTTTTTTTTCCTTGTTTTAAACAAACTTATGATGGATCTGCACAATAATTTATATAAATTTTAGATTTAGTAAATAAACATTTTCTTGTACAACTTTTATTTTAATGAATTACATTTGTTTGTACAGTGATTGAGCAAAAACAATAACCACACTAATTGTAAGAAGTCAGGTAATGGATTTAGTAATGAAACTGCACGTACTGAGTTAATAGGTTTATTTTCACTCTGCTTCTATTAGTTGTACATACGAATCACTATGATATCAAGGCAGGGTAGAGTTTGTGGGTTGGTGGCTGAAGTAAACGGGGTGGGGGGGTTGAAAAGGGAAGGACAATTCCTCCTGAATGTCAGGAGTGTTAAGGGTCTGGGAAGCCATCAATAATGAGGAATCTTGAGACTTTTCATCCAAGTCATCCTGGATGACTAGCTTTCCACTAATTTTAGGCAGCTTCTCAGAAAATACTCAAGTTGCCTGATGAACATTCAACATGCAAATTTACTGAAAATATTCTTAAAATGCTGTGCAAGTGCCTCAGTGAGATTAAATTCTACACTTAATCAACTTACAACAAACAGAATACAAAGGACTTTGTACCTCTGAAAATTCATCAAAGAGCTCGAGTATTTCTCAAAGTACCTCCAATGATCTTTTAATGTAACTATAATAATCTTTTGGATAAACCAATCCACTATCATAGAATAACACTACAACTGTGTAAGTCCATTTTCCCAAGAGTAAGCTTGGCACCACAGCCTGGTATCTAGCCCACCTGCCTGCCTGGTGTAAACACTACTAACAAGTACAAAAACCATCTTATCAGATATTTGAACCAACTACCAGCAGGTTGAAGCATCACAAAGTTTCATGACATCTCTTCGTTTGAAAGATAATTCTCATCTGCTAGGACCAGGCACAACTGGGTACTACTGGCCAGACGACAGGACTATTTTCCTACAACATAATCAGTGTATAAAGCTGGGTTTGCATGTCCACTCACTCCAGCAGCATTGTAATGTTATTGCCTTGTCTATGAACAGCTTCACAGCATACTGAAGAAAGTAAAAGCACACATAACCAAACACACCATATTTTCTTGAAACATTTATGTTGTCATTGCTTTTGAATTTGTCTCTTTATAAACAAAAACTATAACAAGACCATCTTATCATTCATTTATAAGCAAGACAAAACTGGCTAGCAATCAGGAATTGCAATACTTGGCTACATTTGGTAAGTGATATACCAAAAGCATGAAGCAAATATGGATATCATAGGTCTAATGGGTAAGAAATTGAAACTAACTTGGAACGGATAAAAAAAAAAAGTGTGTTTCACAATTATTTTGTCACAGGACACAAAGAATGGTACAGGCTATAACTAGTTCCTATCACAGGACAAAAGAAAACAAGAAAAACTGGAGTGTTTCTAGAGAGGATCAGTTCTTTTTGATAATAAAAGTTAACATTTCATGGAGCCATCACATTTTTTTACACATGTATAATAGAATTCTTTGGTAACCAATTTCTGGGAAAAAAAAATCAAATGGAAAGTGCAATAATGGAACAAGATTGTGTTATCAATAAGTTTCTATTGAAATTGTTGTGTAGCTAACACTTGCTCAAATTGGAACAAATTACCTCGCCTATAGTAAATAATTTTTTTATAAGATGCTACAGAACCTTCATTACTAAGTATTTAACCTATAGGCTCCATTTGCACAGGAAGTAAAATGACAATATAAGGACAAATTTCTGTGGCAAAAGATGTAATAACCAAATGACACCTAGACACACCATAAGCTGCAATCTTCTTGAGCCAATTTTTCGAGCATCTTTATTAATTCTATACATCACAATATTCATCCCTTGAGTATATTAAAAGTAAATTCCTTTTCTATTTTTGTCGATAAATGTAACATACATTGTAATACACAATTATTTTTTCTTTAACTGTTACAAACTTTTGTCTCTTTTCAAATGTTAATTATAAGGCATGGGTAAATGTTCCATTTATCAAATATTTTTAGTAATATGGGAAAAAATGCTGCAAAATTTCCTATGAATCAAAAATACATAAATACTGTTGAGGTATTACTCGATTGCCACATTTGATGATTCTAGGATATTCAAACTAACTATTGCCACCTGCCACAGCTGAAAAAATAACTAACCAGTAATTATATTTACACCGTCATTTTTCTGACTATGGCATTATCACTTGCCTTATGTGAATGCCACCATAGAGGACTCTGATAATTTCAACAACTTAAGTAAGACCCTTCTCTGCCACAACAGAGGGTGGAATCATTCTAACATTTGGAGATGACAATTAAAATATAAATATTCCCCACAAATAGGAGCTAACATTTTGATGCGACATGTTAATTCTGAAAAATCTAGATTTCTACATTTGTTCTGTTTATGTACAAGAAAGAAAAGGAAGTGTTCCTTCTAACATTTCTCTTAATATGACACTGTCCCTCTCCATACAGATATAGCATTATAATCATTTACACACCATATATAGCCTCTCAGACATTAAAGAAAAATAAGGGAGTTCAGACTTATACTATGCTACTCATCTTTATTACAAAGTTCTTAGGGAAACATAATCTCTGCTAACACAAGCAGATCAAACACTCGATACTGTACACATATGGCAGGGTTTCACTACTCCCACACATTTCACCAATGTACAGTACTGTACACAAGAAAAATAAAAATTGAAATAAAAGGTTTACTCTTCAACTTAATTTTTGAACAATTAATTCTCCATTGGCCCATTATGAATGCTTCCCCCAAAAAAACATTTAATGTCATTTCATCAAACTTAATTAAAAAAAAAATAATATATATATATATCACCTAAAAACTTGTACTGCACTAGATAGAAAAAAAAACTTTTTATTCATTCATTCCACTGTGACACACTTGGTAGTGAGGCCATGTGGCCAAACTCATTCTGAAAAGTAACTAAATACGTATTGACATTTAATATGGCTATGCCTTATTTTATATCATTCACAAATATCAATTTACACAGTAAACACATGTCAACCAAGTCAATCAAAAAGTAATCTGTTGTAGACATGAGGAAAAGCCAAGTAATAATGTGAACATGCAAGCAATGTCATCATTCTCAAAAATGGATGTCCCTTTCATCAGAACTTAAAAAAAGCACTTTAAGCAAAACATTCTTTAAACACAGTCATTAACTTCTTCAGAGTAACTAATGGGCAATAAAATGTCATTCAAACATTTACTAATTTGCACAAGTTGCCTCTGAAGCAACCTCCCATAATCTCTTCAGGTACATGACAATAGTCTCAATGGTGTGACGCACTTACACCTAGGCACAGCTGATCCTTGGAACTCTGTATTCTCCCTCACACTGCTGTGATAAGACAACTTGTCAAATTGATGTCCACTAATGGAGTACATCGCCTCCCTGCCAAGAGTTGTCAAATTATGGCAAATGACAGGCACTACAGTAGTATCCACTGCACAAGTCTTTCAGTCTTGCACCTTTACCAGATGTGTAGATTGTTCAAAATCTTTAAAACAAACCATCTTTTTATAATCCCTGAAGGAACATCTTAAACCTCACTGTTCTCCCAGTAACAGACTATCAAGTCTCTACATATCAGGGATGCAAGTAGTTATCTTCTTTATAACATAACTTTGGGTAACTCACAGCTTCAAATAAACTATCATATGGATTTCACCAACCTGAGAACCACCTGTTTGACTTGGTAATTGGATCACTATTTTAGTTGGCTTGAGAACTGTGACTTGTGTTGCTTGACGACCACTGCCTAGCTGGCTTAAAAACATGTGACTGTCATGGATTTGGGGGCCTAAGTTACTCATCTTCATATGGGGGTCCATCCCCTTCCATCCTAGGTCGTTTTATTAGGGGTTCATGCTGTGGGGCAGCCATTACAACACCTTCTGCCTCCACAACTTCCTCTATATACTCAGTAGTATGAGGAGCAGCAGTCATAGTGCCTACCATCACAGCTGTTCCAGTGCTAGTACTACTGTTTCTCATATTACTGCTGCCACCAGGACCAGTTATTGTTTGTCCAGCCGTAGTTGCTGTACTCACACGTTTAACCTCACCATTCACCGTCACATATCCACCACTGGAAAAAAAGTAGTAAAGTTTTAGGTAACTGTACATAACACAGTAAAAGTGTTGTCTGAAGATAATTAGAAGATAATAAGTTCATGTGCACTAGCAACATTTTACATTTCACATATAAAATAAATTGGGAGAGATTACTGAAATGTAATATTAAAAATGCAAAAATGTTACCACAGGATAATGCTAACAACCATGATTATGCAAATGGATATGCAACATAAGTTATTAGCACTCTCACCTTGTCTATAACATCATCCCCTCACCATGATCGATTTTCAGCAACCAGCCATTTTTTTTTCTGTATCAAACCAACTACATTTTATGTAGTTGCTCTTTCACATAAAACAAAACAAAAATAATATATATATATATATATATATATATATATATATATATATATATATATATATATATATATATATATATATATATATATATATATATATATATATATATATATATATATATATATATATATATATATATATACAGTAGTACCCTTAGCATTCATTAAGGGTGAAGACAAAATTGAAAACACGGCGTTAAGTGAACAACAGAACATATGGGATTAATTCCAATCGAGACTGGCAGACCCCCAAGCTCCACTTTTGGCGACACACAACTATGTTTGTAGTAAAAATTTTATCTTAACTTTATGATGGTATGCACACACAATTAATAATTAAGAGAAATATCAATAATATTAGGTTTTAACACTTGCATTAGTAGAAAGATGGCTGGGCACGCAGGGATGGGGGTTGGTTCGAGCAGAGGGCAGGGTTATTGGCCCTCACCTGTATCACTTGTATCAGGTATCACTATCCACCAGAGGCTTGCAGGGCCTCTTTGTCAAACCCCTCAAAGGCAATATAAGTCCATATCCTCTATAATTATCACTATCACTGACTTGGGCCATTTGTGGTGGTGGCGGTGAAAGAACTTCGGTAATGTTTTGATGACTGGCGACCTTATGATAGCATCGTGCCAGCATTCTCGCGTATATGATGAAAAATTCGCGTTAAGTGAAAAGTTCAGCTCTGGCGAGAACACGGCATGATATGATAAAGCAGCGTTAAGTTGAAACAGCGTTAGGCGGGGAGTAATACTGTATATATATATATATAATTATTATTTATTTTATTTTTTTTATGACAAAGTTATGTCTTACTGCATAGTTTTCCACACAAACAACTTGTATTTACCCCAAAAAGTACTGAGTAAACAAAAGTGTTATAAAATACAAAAAAATTGGTAAATTTAAGCTTTACATTGGTGAAATCAAAATTTGATATGATTAATAATACTGCTGGTAAACTGTGAAAAATAAAGGCATATTGGACATTTTATTTCTAAAACTACTGTATTTTATGGCCTATAAGACACTTTTTTGTCTGAAAAAATGGCAAAAACATCAGCGTGAAGTTGCTGTCTCCCTTAACGTAATGAATCCCCCAGTTGCTGTCTCTACGTATGAATCCCTTGTGTCTGTTGCTGTCTCCTTTGAATCCCTTGTCGTAATATCCCCAGTTGCTGTCCTTTATTCCCAGTTGTGCTGAAGATCCCAGTTGTGTCTCCTCGTAATGAATCCAGTTGCTGTCTCCTACGAATATCCGTTCTCTACGTAATGAATCCCCAGTTGTGTCTCCTTACGTAATATCCCCAGTTGTGTCTCCTCGTAATATCCCCAGTTGCTGTCTCCTACGTAATGAACCCAGTTGCTGTCTCCTACGTAATATCCCCAGTTTGTCTCCTCGTAATAATCCCAGTTGTGTCCCTTCAATAATCCATTGCTGTCCTTAACGTAATGAATCCCAGTTGCTGTCTCCTTAACGTAATGAATCCCCAGTTGCTGTCTCCAGTAGGATAAATTCTACTAACCGTATTTTTGGCTTAAAGAGCCTTTATGACAAAAAATATCCTCGAAAATTACCATCGTCTTCAGGACACTAGTGATGAGTTGTAGTAGAGGTTTTGGAATCAGCCCCGAACAAAGACTGTTACCTCATTACAGTACTTAACAATTACAAGTATTCTCTATACAGTACTATAAAACTGTTGATTTAACTAATATTGTGATATATTGCAAAAAATTAAAATAAACCCTTGCTGCTGTGTGGTTTGTTTACTCAAGGCAGTGGTGTGGCAAGCCATCTATTGAGAATTGCTAAAGGTTGTCTGCTGGTCTCAAATGCAGGAATGTTTGTTTCTTTATATGTAGGCTCTCATATTTGGACACCTATTTACAGTAGGCTCATATTTGGATACCCATTTAGACTGTAAACCACAAAATTAAAATCTTCCACATTTAAATACAACTTAGTCATCAAGTCAAAACACACACACAACATTGGCTGTCCTTATGTTTTCAACTTTATTACCAATGGTGGGTAGATATTTTTAATTCAGAAACATTAATTAAAATATATATGAACAGTAAATAAGTATTGCTTTCAAATTCTATAGAGTAATGATGATATGTTTACACATGTGCTCTTACATCGTGATCTCACTTTTTTTACCCTTAATTGTTAGCTACTTCCATTGTTCCATTTATTAACATTAAATAACATTACTTAAAACAACCATATTAATTTTTCTACATTAATTTTAATACAGCTACAATGGAGGACTTATTTTCTTCAGTTTTATAATTATGTAGAACCAATCAGTCACTGTTTTGCAAAAAACGAGTTGTTTTTACTTTTATTTTGTTATTAAATAAAGATTTTTTGTTTTATATAGACGTTGATATACATGTTTACATTTGCTTACCTTCTACTGTTGGAAAATATTTCCCGTCGTTGTCATACCGACAAAAACAAAGAAAAGAATGTAAACACTAGAGCCCCTAAGATGTGGAGATGACCAGGTGTATAAAATGGTATAAAGATTTCACCTTCTTATACAGATTTTTTTAAATTGATGAAAATGACTGACTGATAAGCAGTTCTAAGTGAAGATATTCAAAGAGGTGTGTGTACTTTGTGCCAAAAGGGCGGTATAATTATCAAACAACGGTTTCACTGGTGTCGGTAGGAGGAGGTACGGGTACTACTGCCTGGGAAGATATTGGTAGACCTGCTGCCATATGGCATCACGAAAATACCAAGTCCCAGGTTGCTGATCTGACTTTCTGCCACATTTACACACAATTTCTGGGTCTCAATTGTTTCTCTACTTTGACAACACAAATACATATATTGTTTCTCCTCTTGATTTTTCATTTTGTATTTATTATTATTATTATTTATTATTATTATTACTATTATTATTATTAAATTTTTCGCCCCTAGGCTAATGTGGGTCAGTGACCTGTGCCCAGGTGGGCTAATACCTGAAAAAAAAAAATTTCATTTCATTTCCAAAATCAGGGTGCGTCTTCCACGATGCAGCGTCTTCTAAGCAAAAATCCGGTAAACCAATTCCAGAATTAAAAATATATTATTGCTTACTTAATCACATTATTATTACTTTTAATTCATTAAAAATTAATTATTGTATATATAAAATTTTTATTTTTAACTACTGTACTGATGATCATAACCTGAAATGATTAACATCCGTCTGGCAGACACCCAACTCTTCAGACGTAGAGCTAAGCAGTAACCATTTCTGAAGCATTACAATCTATTAATGGCATACCTGCAACAATTATTTTCAAATCTACAAATACCCGATACAAATGAAGATTTACAGATAACTTTATTTTCACATTTGCATCTGTTAACATCACTGGCGGCATTGTAGCCAGGTTAGACTCGTCACTGTAACCACCAGGCTACTGAGCCAAGCAGTGAGGTGTATGGTTGTTTTTCAACTCGTATTTTCGGGTTTATTTTTACTCAGCTTACATGCACACACCATCCTACCTACATATTGTGAAAAAAGTAAAAAATAATAGTGTCCTAAGGGCAAACACATGAAGGGAATATACATTCCTTTGCACACAAGTTAGCTGACTCAGTGGGGAGAAGGAGGATGACGTGGTATGTGGGGGGGAGGGAGCGTTGCTAGGGAATCAGCGGAGGTAGTGTCCTTGCTGGTCTTTGTTAATATGGTGAAGCAGAGTACTGTAATACAGTAATATCCCAGTTAGCTGGAACAACTGGTGCAGAGCACTTCAGGGGCTGAGAGATTTCTGGATAAACAGACGACTTTTTCAAAACCGGAAAAATTCTTTAGCCCCAGAATCTTTTCCGGTTACTGAAGAAAAAGTTTCCAAGTGTCTAAACTAGACATCTTGCACAGACAGACACTAGCCCACTTCTCCACAACGTTTCTAGGTGTTGGGGATGTTTTCCTCGAGTTTAAACTACCAGAGTCCGTAAATGCAGTTCTAATTAAGTTAGAAACTCCATTTCTTTACAATAATAATCCAGAATAGATTATCTCAAAATTTGGTTCAATAAATATATTTAAAAATTCAAAAGCTATGGGCATGAATGAAGCTGTGTTACAGCAAAGACTGTTATTTTCCACTCCCATGGAGCTGTGGGGAATCGATTAGTGGGTTTCCTGTACCTGACCTGACCCAATGTCAGGTGGAGGTAGGGTGCGGGACTAGTGGTCTCCTATTACTGACGACCTGATGGAATGTCAGGTCACCCTTTCTTAAGTGGGGGATTAGTGGGTCTCATGGCCTGAACATGTTTTGAATATACATGAAACCTAGTTTTTGGGAGGAGAGATTGGGATAAGTATAAATAGCAAAGTTGTATCCCTTCAACATTTTGTTAACATTTTAAAATATGGAGTGAGAAAGCAGAAAGGTGTGGGTGATTAGAGATGGAGTGGAAATGAGTGTTGTCAAGAACTCCTAAACAGCAGAATGTTAACTCCCTACCATGCAGTCACACACACAGATGTGTCATACAATAAGACCTCCTCATGCTTGCTATCTTAATTCCCTTGTTGAGTGTGTGTTTGTGTGTGTGTGGTTGTTAGAGGGAATGTGTGTGTGGTTGTTGGAGGGTGTGTGTGTGGTTGTTAGAGGGAGTGTGTGTGTGTGGTTGTTGGAGGGTGTGTGTGTGTGGTTGTTGGAGGGTGTGTGTGTGTGGTTGTTGGAGGGTGTGTGTGTGGTTGTTGGAGGGTGTGTGTGTGGTTGTTGGAGGGTGTGTGTGTGTGTGGTTGTTGGAGGGTGTGTGTGTGGTTGTTGGAGGGTGTGTGTGTGTGTGTGCATGGTTGTTGGAGGGTGTGTGGGGTTGTTGGATGGTGTGTGTGTGGTTGTTGTGGGGTGTGTGTGTTTGGTTGTTGGAGGTGTTTGTGTGTTTGGTTGTTGGAGGGTGTTTGTGTGTGTGGTTGTTGGAGGGTGCTTGTGTGTGTGGTTGTTGGAGGTGTTTGTGTGTGTGGTTGTTGGAGGGTGTTTGTGTGTGTGGTTGTTGGAGGGTGTGTGTGTGTGTGAGTGGTTGTTGGAGGTGTGTGCGGTTGTTGGAGGGTGTGTGTGTGGTTGTTGGAGGGTGTGTGTGATTGTTGGAGGGTGTGTGTGATTGTTGGAGGGTGTGTGTGATTGTTGGAGGGTGTGTGCGGTTGTTGGAGGTGTGAGTGGTTGTTGGAGGGTGTGTGCAGTTGTTGGAGGTGTGTGTGGTTGTTGGAGGGGTGTGTGATGTGTTGGAGGGTGTGTGATTGTTGGAGGGTGTGTGTGATTGTTGGAGGGTGTGCGGTTGTTGGAGGGTGTGTGTGGTTGTTGGAGGTGTGTGATTGTTGGAGGTGTGTGTGATTGTTGGAGGTGTGTGTGATTGTTGGAGGTGTGTGTGATTGTTGGAGGGTGTGTGTGATTGTTGGAGGGGTGTGTGTGTGGGTATGTGTGAGGTTGTTGGAGGGTGTGTGAGGTTGTTGGAGGGTGTGTGTGTGTGGTTGGTGGAGGTGTGTGTGTGTGTGGTTGGTGGAGGTATGTGTGTGTGGTTGGTGGAGGGTGTGTGTGGAGTTAGGTTGGTGGAGGGTGTGTGTGTGGGGTTGTTGAAAGGTGTTTGTGTGTGGTTGTTGGAGGGTGTGTGTGTGTTTGGTAGGGGTATGTGTGTGTTGTTACTGGAGGGTGTGTGTGAGTTAGGTTGGTGGAGGGTGTGTGTGTGTGTGTGGTTGTTAAAGGGGTGTGTGTGTGCTTCTTGGTGTGTGTGTGTGGTTGTTGGTGTGTGTGTGTGTGGTTGTTGGTTTGTGTGTGTGTGTGGTTGTTGAAGGGTGTTTGTGTGTGTGCTTCTTGGAGTGTGTGTGTGTGGTTGTTGGTGTGTGTGTGTGTGTGTGTGTGTGTGTGTGTGTTGGAGTGTGTGTGTGTGTTGGGTGTGTTGGAGTGTGTGTGTGTTGGAGTGTTTGTGTGTGGTTGTTGGAGTGTGTGTGTGTGGTTGTTGGAGGATATGTGTGTGGTTGTTGGAGGTGTGTGTGGTTGTTTGAGGGTGTGTGTGTGTAGTTGGTGGAGGCTGTGTGTGTGTGTGTGTGTTGGTGGAGGCTGTGTTGTGTGTGTGTGTGTGTGTGGTTGGTGGAGGCTGTGTGTGTGTAGTTGGTGGAGGGTGTGTGTGTGTGTGTGTGTGTGTGTGTGTGTGTGTGTGTGTGTGTGTGTGTGTGTGTGTGTGTGTGTGTGTGTGTGTGTGTGTGTGTGTGTGGTTGGTGGAGGCTGTGTGTGTGTGTGGTTGGTGGAGGGTGTGTGTGTGTGTGTGTGTGTGTGTGTGTGTGTGTGTGTGTGTGTGTGTGTGTGTGTGTGTGTGTGGTTGGTGGAGGCTGTGTGTGTAGTTGTTGGAGGGTGTGTGGGGGGTGGTTGTTGGAGGGTGTGTGAGGGTGGTTGTTGGAGGTGTGTGAGGGTGGTTGTTGGAGGGTGTGTGGGGTGGTTGGTGGAGGGTGTGTGGGGTGGTTGTTGGAGGGTGTGTGTGTGGTTGGTGGAGTGTGTGTGTGTGTGGTGTGTGTGGTTGGTGGGGTGTGTGGTGTGTGTGGTTGGTGGAGGGTGTGTGGTGGTTGTTGGTGTGTGTGTGTGTGGTTGTTGGAGGGTGTGTGTAGTTGGTGGAGGTGTGTGAGGGGTGGTTGTTGGTGTGTGTGTGTGTGGTTGTTGGAGGTGTGTGTGGTTGGTGGAGGGTGTGTGGGGTGGTTGTTGGTGTGTGAGGGTGGTTGTTGGTGTGTGAGGGTGGTTGTGTGTGTGTGTGTGTGTGTGTGTGTGTGTGTGTGTGTGTGTGTGTGTGTGTGTGGTGTGTGTGTGTAGTTGGTGGAGGTGTGTGTGGTTGGTGTGTGTGTGTGGTGTGTGTGGTTGGTGGAGGGTGTGTGTGTGGTGTGTGTGGTTGGTGGAGGGTGTGTGTGAGGGTGGTTGTTGGTGTGTGTGTGTGTGTGTGTGTGTGTGTGTGTGTGTGTGTGTGTGTGTGTGTGTGTGTTGTTGGCAGAAGCGAACCCTTTTGGGGGATGAAGGGGTGAGGGTTATGTGGTCAGTTCCCCCCTCCCCACCTCACTCATGCATGGCTAGTGTGATAGGGAGATGAATATGATACCACAATGATGCTTAATATATTATCTACGAGATGTTTCCAATAAGATATCCTTAATTTAATTATTTCAATAAGATACAGTGATGGAAATTCCATTGTTTTATAAAAAAATGCGTAAGAAATGTTGATTCCCTAGCAACGCAGCCCAGATGGGACGCTGCCTCTGCCGACCCTCAGCAGCGGAGCTCCCACACTCCGCTCCTCTTCCCCATTCCGCCTGCTAACTCTTGTGCGCAAAGTAATGTTTATTACCTGTATGTGATTGACCTTATGATAATTATTTCTTTAGGTTTTTTTGTGGAGGGCCCAATGTATATGTAGGATTGTGTGCATGTAACAGAGTAAAAAAAAATATAGAAAGTTAGCAATACATATATCTACCCGAATTACAAGGGGGAAGTGGCTATAATGATGAGTTTAATTTGACAACAATGCCACCAGCAATGTTAACAGATGCAAATGAAATTAAAATTATCTGTAAATCTTCATTTGTATTGAATATTTATATGTTTAAAGTGGCATATACAGTGAATGAGGTTTTGTTCTTCATGTAGCAACATAAACAAAGAATCTAGGGGTAGGAAAGGCCAAGAAAAAGAAGCTTACTGTTAAGGTTAGCCTACGACAACCATGTGCGGGTAGCTATCGTTCAACGTAAATACATGAATTCTAATCTCTTCAAAGATACTAAGTATGTGTATATATTGTTGACCTTTAATTTTGCAAAAAATTTGATCATAAAAACTCGAACTGTACTCATGTATATACAGTACAGTGATACATCTTTATTTGCACCATCCTTACTGAATGTAGCCATAGTTGACAAAAACTAATTTTGAAAATCCAGTCATAAAATAAAGTTTTCTCATTAATGGTAGGCAAACAGTAAATATTACCAGAAGAAATTTGTAACTGTTCACTTATGAATATTGTGGTCCCTTTAATTGTTCCAAAATTAAAACTACTGTACAGTCTCTCCTCGACTTAAGACATATTCGACTTCAACAACCCGGACATACGACGGCCATGGTCGTATAAAATATTTTTTCATTACGTATTTTCGCGTCCCGAAGTTGGTGATTGCGCTGTGTACTGAAAAAATTTTCGTTTGTAATTCTCTTTAAAATGGCTGGCAAGCATAAAAGTGAGAGTTCTCATGGTGCTGAGAAAAGAGACACCCATTTTAGAATTTATATGTATTATTTTTAGCTTTTTGACCAATTCAACTTACGACCTGGTCGTCGGGACGGAACCCCGTCGTAAGTCGAGGAGAGACTGTATCTGTAACTAGGACAGGGATGAGAATGGGTAAGATATTTGAATGTGCCAGTAAAGTGGACTGTAACATAAGAAAAGAAATAGGAGAATGCCAAGTACTGTACTTTGACAGACTTTTCAAATTGTGGATTATCTACCAAGCAAAGTATATAAAACAGCCTGAAAACAAGGACTTGAGTGAATGGCTCCAAGGAATATATTTAATCATAATGATATAAAACAAATATAAAGAGTAGGTATGATGCAAGGACATAGTGAGAGAATATATAGATTGAACACCAGAGGAATACCGAGATATGTGAAAACACCATTGTATCTAGAGGGTCTGTAAAAGCAGCAACACTGTGGACCTAAGGGAAAAGTTTATGCCCCAAATGCAAACTCACAGAAAGTTACCAAACACTGCAGCTCCATCACACATTTTTTTCCAGGTTTGACTTTGTAAAGGTAAAAATGGTTCCAATTATAAAATGAATTAAATTTTTAAAGCAACTTACCCATATTTGGTGAGGTGTGGGCAAGATAACCTGAGTGTGAGTGAAGGAGTTGGGGTCTGCTGATGTCTGGACTATGACCTGCCCCTGGGTGAAAGAAGTTGACTCTCCTCCCATACCACTCGTTAGTTGAATTTGTTTAAGCTCTCCCGACTTGGCAGATCCTGTCCCACTAGGCCCCCCAGCTGTGGCTATCAGGTACTTGCCTTAAAAAAAAAAAAAAAATGTTACTTCAAAACATTCCATATGATCATTTATAGAATTGATTTTTTTTTTTTACAAAATTTATAATACCATTTTATACTTAAAGACATTCTACCTGACCTTCATTTTTTAGGTACAGTACATTATTATGCTTGCACTTTAAAAAATATTTTTGTGCTCAAGACCCTCAATAAGAGGACTGTACTACAGTATTGTCCTCATATCTGAAGGTTGGCTACCACAGTCCTCCACCCTAAACATTCTGATTGTTTTTACCAAACCTCCAAGGTCTTGTATCTCCCTGGAGACCAATTTTTATTTCATCCATCTATCCTAGTCTCTGAATTCCCCTCACCCTCCTAAAACTTTGCCCACTATATTTATGTTAGTATCCCTTCATCCCTAATTACATGACCCAAATTATTATTATTACATTTTCGTCCCCCAGGCCCCGATGTGGGTCAGTGACCTGTGCCCGGGTGGGCTTATCCCCGTGAAAAAATATATAATTTTTCTTTTTCTGTACATTTCAAGCATTTCTCTTAAAGTTTTGCCTAACCTTAGTACAGTACTGTACTTCTATATTTGTTTTTTCTGTCAGTGTAACTTATTTTATTCTTAGCATTTGTCTATAACACCACATTTCAAAGGCCTCCAACCTCTTTCTGGTGTCTGCTGAAAGTGTCAATGCTTCTGACCCGTATAAACACCTTTCAGCATCCTTTTTCTCAAATTGAAGTCAAAATCTTTTTTCATAAGGTCTTTTAGATTATTAAAAGTTATTTTTGCATGCCCTATTCTTGGTTTGATTTCTTCCATACATCTACCATCACAGCTAATGTTACTCCCCAAATACACAAAATTTTCCACTTGTTTAATTTCCCTGTTGCCCACCATAATTTTTATTTCAAGATTTATGTCCAATTTTTAATAACCATCACTTATAACTTCTCTCATTAAGAATTCTGAATATACTGTACTGTATATTATGCAATGTTGGACATAGAACACAGCCTTGCCTTACTCCGGTCTAATTGTGAACCAATTAGTAAGTTCATTATTTACAAACACTGCAGCCTCACTGTTGCCAGTAAAGATTCTTTAATACTCTAACATCTCTCTCATTAATCCCTATTTTTTTCCAAGATCTCTTAAAAGTTCTTTTGTGCTTTACTTTATCAAGCTTTTTCAACAAAGCAGATGTACAAATTTCTTTGAACCTATAAATCCCTTTCACTCAAAATTCTCAAACCAAATATACTGTAGCTCTTTATTTCCTTTTCACTTTCTAAATCGCTTTTGCTCTTCAGATAGCTCACTTTCTATTCTAAACTTTATTCTACTTAAAATTATGTTTAATAAACTTTGCAGGCATGACTTATTAAGCTCATTGTTCTAAATTGGATGCAATCTAAGGCTCCTGGCTTTTTAAGTATTAATGCAAACACAGCACTGATGTTTTTTTTTAAATTACTGGTAAATTTCCTTTGAAGAACAGTACAGTTCAGGTGCTCCTCTACTTAAGAACGAGTTACGTTCCTGAGGCTTGCTTGTAAGTCCAATTGTTTGTAAGTCAAACTTTACTCTTGTAGATACCAAACATATTGTAAAAAATTAAAAGATTATGGATATTTAGTACAGCTATATCCTTTAATACAGCTTTAAAACCTGGCTCACTCTTCTCCTCTTAGGTAATGCTTGTTCTATCTGGAATTTTCTTCAAAATAATCCAGTCTCATCCACATTAAACACCTGTTCTGGCAGGTAACCTCCCTCAGTGATGATGTCTGTATCTCTGAAAGTTTGCAAGTTGAACGTTCTTAAGTAGAGGTGCACCTGTATATAGAAGTACAAATTTTAGTCACGCCATTTTTTCTCACTCTTGCCCATTTGTTTCATAAATTCTGATGGAAGATGATTAACACCACAAGCTTTTTCATTTTCTCACAGCTGCCTCAACTTGTTCCCACAATTGGGCATTTCGATCTTTATTTCCTATTTGTTTCTTACCTCTACTCTATCCTTATCATTGTATAGTTCTATGTACTCTGCCCATCTCTCTTTTACTTCTTTTGCCTCAAACAGGATCTTATTGTCTTTGGTTTTAATAGTTCCACTCCATTTATTTCCTTTTTTCTGGTTAATTTCTTTAATCTTTCTGTAAATTTCCCTATAATTATGACTTATCATATTCAATCTCCTTGCATTTCCCTTCTAAATCATCTTCTTCGCCTGCCTATATTCCATTTGAATTTTTTTTAACGCTCTCAGGATTGCCTGAAATGTATTTAATGAGCCTGTGTCACAGGACCACTTTTGAGCCAGAAGAATGGCCAGAAATCATGGAGAAGATATTTTTTTCCTGGATGCTATTTGTTGCTAAGGCTATGTCCCATGTGTGAGTGTCCTGTGGCATCGAGCGACCCACGTCGCGCTACCTTGGTGTAGCGGACAAACGTGTTTTCTTTGATGTGTCCACTTAGACGCGTGAAGCGTTCATGAACGACCAGGAAGCAGGAACTAGACGCGCGACCTGGAAGTAGCCATTAAATATTTTGATCGTCACTTCCTCAGTTGCACGAGTCCTCGCATTCTACACCAAAACTAAAGAAGGTTATACATTCATATTCCACTGTTAACAGCTTGATTTTGCTAAGAAATAGATCCTTGTGAAATATTTAAGTAGCTGCAAAATGTTTCTCTCACATTCTTTGCAGAAGAATGTGAAGCATTGTTTATTCTTGAGGGTGATGCGTTATTCTCAACTGTACATTCTTGAATTGCATATCACTTTGCATCCAGACCTCTATGTCAATTCACACTTTGCAATATCAACAGCAGTATCTACCTTTGTTTCAATAAGTTTATTTAAAATTTTCCATTTACTTGTAAAAATTCCAAATGCACACTCTACAAACACCTGACACGTGACAATCTATAATTAAATTTTTTTTTCTTTGTTCAGAGCATTCCTAAGATAGGTTTTCAACAAATATACACAGTGTGGGTAGGCCTCATCCTCAATCAGAATACATTCTGGTGTACTCTTGAAACTTCTTTGGATCTTGACGAAGTTCCTTATACATATGGTGAAATTCACCTATTTCTATCTTCCTCTGATATATGGGAAAATTTTTTCCTGGGTACCTCTGCCGGTACCACACATTGAAAAACATTATTTTCTAATGTACCAGCAAAAGTCTGTGCTGCATAAACGGCATGTTTGCGCCGACAGACGCTAGCAGGTGGGACACAGGTTGCTTTGGAAAGTAGGTAGCGCATCTACGCCCTGGTTGCTCGATGCCGTGGGACCTTCGCACATAGGACCTAGCCTAAATTTATGTCAAATATTTATTCAAATGATGCCTTCCTAGGTAAAAAATTGCTGGGAAACCACATGAAACCCTAAAAAGTAAAAAGTAAATACTGTAAATAAAATCCATTTTGCAGTACAGGTAAATCTCGAGATACGTATGATATCCCTTAGTGCAATACAGGGGTATTCCATTTTAACGATGGTTATGTATTAACACCATCTTGCTATATACGATCACAAAAACACTCACTTCAATAATATCCATTAAATAACTATCAATACCCATTCGTCGATTTTTTCTCTCTCTCTAGTGTAAACTATGGGTTGTTTATACAGTAATCAAATTAATCGCTGTCTTGCAAGGATTCCAGCAATGCAAATTATAGTTTTCTATGTCAAGTCAGTGACATTTTATAAGAAAACAATATTTAACCCTATGTACCATGCATCTCTACCTTCACTGGTAAGCTAGCCCATGAACCGCCACACAGCCAATCCACCATTGCAAGGCTCCACGATTATCGGCCAGCATCATACATTGTACTGTACTTATCATTGTTTGTTTTTTAAATAACGAGAGGACAGCACTAACATTTATAAAGAACTGTGTTATGGTGACTGTGAAGTGATATTTTCTGTTTTTGTGACTATTAAGTGCTTCAACTCTGTTTTCGTGAACATGTTCTGTGCGTGCAGGCCAATATCATGTGCTTATGTTGTCATTCCTGTTTGTTTTTCCTTACAGTTAAGTAAACACTACAGGTTAATATTGTACATTACATGAATATTTTTGCTCAGTTATTGTGACTGTGAAGTGATACAGTACAGTACACTTCAGGTTAATACTGTACATTACATACTATACCATAGTATGTAATGTGACTGTGAAGTGAAAAGTACAGTGCAGATACAGTGGAGTACACTTCAGGTTAATACTGTACATTACAGTAATTTTTTGCTCAATTTTTGTGACTGTGAAGTGAGACAGTACCTGTACAGTTAATGAAAATGGCTAGCAAGCGAGTTGCTGAGACCCCTGCATCAGCGAAGGCCAGAACACCCAGGAACTGTGTCATCTGGAGGTGAAGCTTGACATTGTGAAGCGGCATGTGATGGGTGAAGGAGCGTGCTCTATTGCTAGAGCGCTTGGTCTGGTCTAGTCTACTGTGCCTACCATCATCAAAAAGGCACTGGAAGTGAAAGCTGCGGTGGAGAATGTCACCCCAGTTTCCGCTTCTAGATTATTGAGGAAGTGTAAACCAATCATGGATAAGATGGAGTGGCTACTCCAAGATTCGATTCAGGACCAGACTCGACGCTGCTTGCCTCTCTCCACAGCAATCACCACGTCGAAGGCAAGCAACATCTAGGTGAAGCTGAAGGCAGAGAGCGGTGACAGCAGTGGAGGTGATGCCCCTTTCAAGTCAAGTCCTGGGTGGTTTCAGCGCTTAAAGAGGCGCCAATCTCCACAACCCCGTCTGACTGATAAGGCAACCCGTACTGATGTCACGAGTATTAAGGCCTTCCTGGCATTCATGAAGGCTAAGATGGAGGAAGGATACACCACGAAGCAAGTCCTGAACTTCGACAAGACGAGCCTGTTTAGGAAGATGCCATCAAGGACTTTCCGGGCCAAGGAGGAGGAGACTGCACCAGGCTTCTAAGTAGCCAAGGACCACCTAACCT